GAAATAAGCAATTATAAGTCTTTATTTTGGCCAAGATAAGAAAGAACGGTTTCATTCACAAAGTGCCCCGAGGTTACTTTAATGTCTTTTTCTTTTTACTGCAGCTCAGCGTTATATTATTAGAAGGAATTGCGTATGTCTAAGATAAAGTTTAAATACACTCTTCAAAGAAAAAGTAAGTAAATACAACGGTTATTCATCACACTTACAGGATATTCATCCAGCTGTTTCTGTATTAACAAATAACTACAGATCAGACACAAAACGATTTAAATTTAAACATTATTATTACATTAGTACTTTATTTTTTTTATAAAATTACACTAAATGTATAAATTCTTAATGCAATTGTTTTCATTATATATTCAGATCACCCATCCGTCGTCGACACCGATTGATCGTTAGGGTCATGGGGTCGCTGGTGCCCATCTCCAGCGCTCAGTGGGCGAGAGGCGGGGTCTCTATAGAAAGGCAGCAAAGAGGAAAGCTGCATAAATGAGACGGGAAAGTAGCTACAGCTGTTTTCACTCACCTCTTAATTTTTAATTCAATGATTCCTTCTGCAGAATTCCAAATAAAGGGCTAGTGGGGAGTGGCTGCAGTGCAAAAGAAGAATGAACAAACTGTCCTCTCTGCTGCAGGTGTTGGATGTTTGGATGGATGAGTCTCTGGGCTCCACCAGGAAAAGTCATTAATATAGGAACAGACATTAAAAAAAAGAAGGGAAACTGGCTGGGTGAAGATGAATGAGTCAATGCAGCGAAAGGAGCGAGAGTCAAATGCAGTCTTGGAGGAATTTCACAAAAATAGAGCAGCGTACGACATGATAGAAAAAAAAAAGAACTGTAGTCCAGGGGTGGCCAAGTCCAGTCCTCAAGAGCCACCATCCTGCAAGTTTCAGATGCATCCCTGCTTCAACACACCTGAATCAAATGACTGGCTCGTTATCAGGCCTCTGTAGAGCTGATCCCGGTCTGTTGGAGTAAGGATACTTCTAAAACTTGCAGGATGGTGGCTCTCGAGGACTGGACTTGGCCACCCCTGCGTAGTCGAATCAGGACAGGGTGATCAGGCTAGTCCTAGATCACATAATAGTTGGTTACTGTATTATATTTTTATGGTGTGAAGCGCTTTGAACTGCTGTGTTACTGGAGAAATCAACTTGACGTAACGAGCAGCCTGATTCTGGTGGACAGTGCAATGAATTGTGTGGGTTAATGCAGCCCAGCATCTAACATTTACTTTAGATTTATCCACTTGTAGCTTCGGCATCATTGAACTTGGAGTACAAAATCACTCCGAGAAATAAAAATGGATAATTTAAACTTTTCTGCACCCCTAGAGAGTCCAAGCACACACACACACACACAAAAAAATTAATTTAAGGGCTAAAAAAGTGTGACATGTCTCCGTTAAAACCAGGTAAAACACTTCTGGGAAAAAAAAGTACTTACGCATATTTGTCTTTCTGCACAGACGGCAACAACATTGTCGACTGTAAGCTAGACTTTCCCAGCCCTGCATGGTACTGGGAAACCTTGATGAAGATCTGCGTGTTCATCTTTGCCTTCATCATGCCCATCCTCATCATCACCGTCTGCTACGGGCTCATGATCCTGCGGCTCAAGAGTGTCCGAATGCTGTCGGGCTCCCAGGTGAATGCAAACATGTTTTCTTTTTTTTTTTTTTTTTTGCATATTTAAGGACAGATTAAACGAATATTCTTCAAAACAAAACTCTGATCTCACAGGCTCTGGATAACATATGATTGGAGGATTGGCTTTTATCTCGTTAATGGGTCGGTTTTATTTTAAAGAGTAATCAAGCACAATGGGAGACTGTCTAGAGCATGCCTTGAAATACAGTCCACTCAATAGAGTCCAGATAAAACAATTAGGCGAAATCAGCTGAAGCAGGAGGCTGTAATTTAGTTTTAATTACATGCTTAGCACTCACCACTCTGTGTGAAAGATAGCTCGGCTTCTGTGTTTTATATAAGAACTTTAATTCCGTATTATCAAAAAATAAGAAGTAATTAATGAAATCTTTGTGAAATTATTTCTCTGCTACATTATCTGTTTTTTTTTTTTATTGTGCTCCCATCCCCTGACAAATCTCGCCACACAAACCCGTGCAGGAAAAGGACAGGAATCTTCGAAGAATCACCCGCATGGTCCTGGTGGTGGTCGCCGTCTTCATCATCTGCTGGACCCCGATCCACGTCTTCGTCATCATCTCGGCTCTGATCAACATCCCCAGCTCCACCCTGCAGACTGTCACCTGGCACTTCTGCATCGCCCTGGGCTACACCAACAGGTAGCGAACCGCGCCGAACCCCCGGGGTCTGTTTGCTGTGATCATTTCTAAAGAGGATTAGAGGACATGGCAAACGGTGCAAACCATGTTTTCATGCCTTGCATGTAAGGAAAACGTCACACTTTGGTGCCACAGTAATTAGCATGGTCACTTCCAGTTTTTCCTCCTTTCAGACACTTACATTTACCTCCTGTATTTGGTAAAATTGCCTTTAAACTGTATGACTTGGGTCTTGTTTACTCACAATGTCTCATCTCTGCCTATTGGACTGAAATCAAAGCTAACGTTGTTGTTCTCAAGTCAACTTACTTTAGCTTTATGATTTGTATAATTGTCTGTTTGGAAGACCTGCTTTAGCTCAAGCTTTGACTTTCTGGTGATCTGGGATGCTGCTTTGATATTTCCACAAAATGTCCTTTCTTGAGTATGAAAGAATATTTTGCAAGGTGCCTCATTTAGCGAAGTACCTGGACAACATGATGGGATGTTGTCAAGCTTCCCAGTTATTCCTCGAAGTTTAACTTTGGTCATTACGGCAAAACACTTCACTTGTGGTTTCCAGTTGTATGTCTCCAAAAATTAAGGTCTTTATTTAAATTTAAATTAAGTTTTTTTGTAAAGCCTGGTGAAATGCCAAGCTCCTAATACACTGGGGGAAACCTTGAAGTCTTAAGAACTGATTACCTTAAGAACTGATTACCACCTTGTTCTAGGTGGCTCCTAAAACTGGGTGATAAAGGGTGCCGATTATTATAAAAATAAAAATGCAGAAACTCTCGGACAAAATGCATGTTTTGCCAAGTTGTGCCTCTCGCAGTTTTTCCACAACCCAATGTAATTAACATAAATAAAAAAAATGATGTTTAGGATTTTCAGTGAAAGTTGATTTCACCAACATTTGACCGTTTCTCCTGTCCTCCCCACCCTGCAGCAGTCTGAACCCCGTTCTTTACGGCTACCTGGACGAGAACTTCAAGCGTTGCTTCCGTGAGTTCTGCACCCCGAGCGCTTCGGTGCTGGAGATGCCGAACTCGTCCAGAACCGGAGCCACCAGCCGCAAGGTCCCCAGGCGTGAGCACAACGGCACAAACACGAGCGAGAGATCCAATCAGCAGGTATCCAACAGCTCTGTGAGCAGAAATAAATGCTTAAAGATAAAACCTTTTAAAGCTTTTCTACTAAACCGTCACGTGTGACTGTCTGTTCCTTCGCCTTTCGTTGGCACAAAGTCAGAAGTTTGCAGCTTGGAGAGACAAATGGAGGAGGAATCACCCAGACGTGACACAGAAATACCTTTTTTTTCCCCCCTCTCTGCAGGTATGACTAGCCTTGGAGGGGTCGTCGGTGGACTCCCGCTGTTGCGGAGGAGCTGCCAACGACGATCTCAACTCTGAAGTCACGCAGGTCACCACAGGGCTATAATTAGTGCACGGAAACCACACGAGCAAAGCCTCGAAACACAGAAACACGGACGAGCACAAATCACCTTCGCCGCTCCCCGCTTTCTTTCTTCTGTTCTTCTGCTGGAAGTCGGACCGCAAACCTGCAACTTCGTGCTTTGTGATTCGAAACAAACGATTCCATCTTCAAAGAAGCAAGACAGTTGAAAAAAATTCAAGCATAATTAAAAGAAACTCACTTTTGTGTAGTTTGAGAAGCACTGTAAGCTTTATAGGTAGAAATGTTCTCCGGTAACAAGACAAAAGGACTGATTGATCCATAAAACCACTTTTACAGCCTGGTAATATGGTTCTTTCTGCCTTATTAATCCTAACCTCCGGCCCCTAGCTCTCAGCTTATCTGTAACGCTTTATGGTGAGCTAACAAATCAATTGTTTGCCTTTTGTTCGCCTCCACATATTCTTTTTGAGGATGGATTTGGCTGAAGATTGTCGGAAAGAAAGGGTTTGTGTTTGTCACTGCTGGAAGACTGCGTGGTATTTTGGCCTTCAAAGAGACTTCACTGAATGGAAGGTGAAATTCGAAACGATTTCCCTCCGCTGAGCTTTTCAGAATGCCTTTGTGCTGCGGGGCGGCGGGGCCCACCTGAACAGTTAACACCGACCGCTCCGGCTTCAGCCCGTCGCCGTACAGCAGTCATCCCATTTCCTCACCTCAGATTTCACCGCGGTGGACGAATGAAAACTCGGACCTGAGAATTACACGCTTTCCTTCTACGGAACTGGAGGGATTTCTGAATGTACATAAAGGGAACCATTTGTGTTTGCCGCAGTGGATCATTGTGCCAAACCGTGCTCCAAACCAGCAAGAGGACGCGTCTGCCTGTTTGTGCAGCCTGCACGGCATGCCATTTTAGTGCAAACACGTGTCTCTGCTGGTGTATGATTAGCCGCTGTTGAGCAGCTACAGCTTTCATATGAAGGAACTTAAAGGCGAGCCAAAGCAGGAGCGTACAGCACATTGTGTCATTTCTATGTAAATATGCTTGTGCCGACATGTCGTGTATCTACATGTAAAAATGCCTTGTTCAGTCGCTCTGCTCGATATTCTCTAAACCATAATTTCTTTTATATAAAGCTCTGTAAAAGAGGAAAATCGTTCTAGATGTAAACTAACCTAAGTGTTCATCTGCTTAAATAGATGTGGTGAATGCAAAGTCATGAAAATTGTCGTCACCAAATGGAGATTTGTTTTTGTTTTTTTGTTTTTTTTTTATCATACATGTTGGTAACTGCAAATGTTTTCTAATCGATGTTGCAATGTGACAAACTTTCTGCTTTGAGTAAAATGTGTTGCTCACGTCACTCTGCGCAGATAATTGGTTAACTATAACTATTACTTGCACAGCTTTTCAACCATCTGTAAAAAAGTAAATTAATAAAATGCCAATTGTAATTTCTCGCAGATGGCTGAAAACGTTCAGTACTTTTTTTTAAGGTAGGGATTATAAATTTTGCAAACTATTGTGCAATGTGGAGATGCTTGTCTTGCAAAAAAGCTGAACAACAAATTGGGACGAGACTTTGTGGTTGAAGCGAAAGGCAGAAAATTAAATATGCGGCAACTTACGATCTGCCAGGAAATCTACATTTTTATATAAATTGATATAACTCATGAATATCTAAATCTCTTTGGAGGATTATTATGCAAATCAGTGCAAGAAGCTCACCGCTCTGATAGATGGCTCTTCAGAGAAATGTAACCTTGCTGTCAGACAGTTTGATGCCTCTAAGCCCAAAAGAATGTTCTTGGTTCATTTTCAGCAGCTTTCAACGGTGCTGCACTTTTCTTAAACCCAGAGTCTAAAAACCCCGACTGCTCAATTTGAATTGACGGCGTTTAAGTTCCTGCTGTGGGTTTCGCTTCTCATTGGGTTAAATTATGGAAGAAGCAACATCCAACAGGACAGACGTGAGACAAAGAAAGAAAATAAAAGGCATTTATTAATGCCTTTTATTTCAGCCTCACGATGAGAATGTAAAGACGACAATATAAACTGAAGAAATAATGATTGAGATCTTGTGGAAAGGCAAAAAAAGAGAAATTCAGACAGTTGTGTTTCTATGATTTAAGAGGATTTTGTTGTTTTTTTTAAATTTGAAATAAGAAATACAACATTTGAAAGACATGTGGCGATCTCCCTGTAGCTGAAAAACATCAGCTGTTGGCATGTTGGGTTAAAGCCTGACTCTCCATCCCACATAGATTATTTTAATTTTCATAAAAGGCTTACTTTATTATCTTTGTTAGTAGAAGGCAGACAAAACCTCCACTTAGTTTTTCTCCCTAATTTTATTTGTTTGCTTTTGGATCCTGTTTCTTTATAACTTAAGAAGAAAGTTAAGAGATATATTGGGGACAAAATTAAGCTTTAAAAGGGGTTTTTCGCCCATAAAGTCTCCTTGTTTCAAACAAAACGGGTCCTTCAGCATTTCTTTTCATGCCAAACTAACTTTCAAAAAGCATTTCTCAAACAGTATTTTAATTCAGTTTTCCTGTTCATTCCCTCCAACATGTCATGCTTTAGAAGAAGACGACATTTTGTCAATATCTACCTTTGTAGTTTGGTGGGTTTTTTTTGGTCTAAAATAGAAAGACTTTACTCAATAAAACTGGCATTTAACAAGTAAAGAACTTAGACTTTAGTTAGACATCAAATTGCATTCATAACAAAACATGTCGATGCTTTATATGAGCAGCCAAACGACGACCCTTGAGGCAAAATATGCCGCTTCATGAGGCCAATATGTGCTTTTTGAACAATTAACCAGTGAAATGTCACGGTTTTTAGGACGTAACTTAGATGATTTACTAAAAGACACAAACAATACTGAAATAATAAAGATGATTCTCTGTGTTTGACGCTCACAAACACAAAGCTACAGATTCCCGTTACGGGCCTGCTGCTTTCTGTGAATAGTCTTAGAATATAACGCTGTTCCTAAATTACTGCTTCTGTAATCAGATGCACAGACCTGAAGCTCGAAAGGCAGCAGAAGCCGCGCGGCAGGGAAACAGCATAACGATGTTGCATTTGCATTTATTTATGGCACAAGGACAGACGATGACTGTTCATTTCCGAGCCATTTCATCTGCGACGCATCATGACTTTCGCTGTGTTGTCGTAAATAACTCGTCCCGTGACTTGTCCCACGCCATGTGATCCGGTTTTGAAGCTGCATGTAATCTGCTGTCCAGACGCCGGGAGTCTCATTCATGGATGCCATTCTAAGACGCTTTACTAATATTATTATGGAAAAGAAGAGCAGCTATAAATGTCACTGGATGTCTTTGTTTCTTGCTCCTGAATAAAAACGATCAGCCGCTCTGACGTTTCAGTGTTTGGTATAAATTTATGAGCGATGGTCTGCTCTCGATCAAACGCTCCCTAAAAAGAGCTTTGTCTCTGTGCGCCGAGATATGAAGAGGAATAACAAAGAACGATATCAAAGAGTTGTGGAAGAATATATATTATAGGCAGTGATGCTGTGGACTGAAGCAGGTAAAAATAGGTAACTATATATAGATAAAACAAGTTGAGGACAGAGTGAGGTTCTGAAAAAAAATAAGACGACTGGTAAAAACTCTGTTGCTTTCTGAATTTGAATTGAATTGATTTTTGTGAGCTGAAGACAACATCAACACTTAAGTCAGTAGAAAATAACTTGATTTCCAGTGTGTTTCAGCTTGTGGCAAACTGACGAAGGACGCAAGTGGAAACGTGTTTCTCCTGAAACTGAGTCGTTTCCTAGTGCTTGTTGTTGGGGTCTTCGCCTCAACTCTTCTCTTTCCACCTTGGGAAGTTGGTGAAGTTGTGTAAGAAATGTTTTGGTTCTAATTGAACTGATTTTGCTGGGGAAAGATCACGAAAGTAGATTGTTGCTTTGTTCCCCCCATTTCCTTGTTGAGGTTCCTAGAAGACAATGTGCTGATTTCGATTCTTTTCTTTCCCTTGACGATCTGGTCCTTGAGGACTGGAGTTTGACTCCCCTCTCCTGGGTCTTTCTCCCGCTGCATTAACTTGATGTGCAAAAGTGGTGGTCAGACATTTTCCCTCTGGCATTTCACAGTAGAGAGCAGAAATCACAGTTGCATCAAACACACTTCCAGAAGCTGCAACGTGCTCCCAGACCATCACACTATCTCCACATTAGATGAGATGTTTGTCTTTTTATGACATTTGTGGACTTCCACTGGTTTATATTGTTTGTTTAAATGTTTTTATTTAAAATTTTTTGTCTGAATCCCATTTTCGTCGCAGCCTCTGAGCCGGGCTGTGACACACTCGAAAGTGAATGTCAGAGTCAAAGCGTGTCATCGATGTGACGAGACCTTGTGTCCAGTTGGGACAGTCACATTGATTAGTCATGTTGTCAATCCAACAGGTCACTCTGGAGGGATGCTAATGCTAACTAACGCTAAAGTTTCGATGACAAGTAATGAAAATTGTAATTTTGGCAACAGGTTGGACAAGACTCACATTTACGCTTTTATTTTTAAGCACTTTGAATTGCCTTGTTGCTGAAAATGTGCTATAGAGATAAAGTTACCTTGCTGTAATTTGTTGACAGACCGTGCCTTTGTAATTCTTACTTTGAGCACTGCAGAGCTCAAAGTAAGAAAAAAAAAAGTTGAACTGGGAACATGAAACCTTGGGTTATAATTGGGGGTTCAACTTTGAGCTATTTCAGAAAACTGGTTGATCTGATGCTTCACACATGCTGGAGAAACGCAGGCTGGTCAATATTTAGAAAAAAAAAAGTTTAATGGAAATGTATAGAAATATGCTGAAACGTTGTGGAGGTCAGGACTATTCAACAGAGAGCCACTTAGTACATTCTGAAAATGAAAGGAGAAAGCAGAGAATAGAGCACAATTAAGTGCAAAAGCATTTGTATCGTCTTCCCAGAAGTGAAAAAAAAAAAGCTTTTGTTGATGTGCACGAGCGACACAGTGATTCGAAGACTGAACAAGCACTTCTGAGAATTTCAATTCTGTCCTGAGAAATGACGGGAATAAACCTTCGATATGTTCAACATCTCAAGGTCCTGTCTGCGTTTCAACATGGCAAACATAGCTGGGAAATCTTTACCTAAAATGTATGGATGGAGATTCAATTTCAAATGAAATACTAAATAATTACATTTCTTGTATTCAATGTTGTCTGCTTTATTCTAATGAATCTGTCTTTGTGCTCAACCTCAGCATGCGTCTGGCTTTGCACAAACTCAGATGTTTCTCAACAAAAACATATTTTCAAGATGCAACAGAGAGAGAGAGAGAGAAAAAACTTCTATCCAAGCCCTTTCTGCATGCAGCACACTTCAATCCATCTCAGCAGGTCTAGAGGTCAAAATCAGTAGCTACAAATCATACAGTTAAAGGTCACTCAATTTGAAAAGAGCCTTAATTATGTCCTCTATCAAGACTGGGATAATGTCTGTGAAATAATTCACCCCTTTTTATTTGACTGGCCTGCTTTGGTAAAACCGTCATTAATGCATTACAGAAAAGGGCAAGCTGAATGAAAATGCGTAGCTGCATAGTTCTACATTTTTTTTTTTTTTTTTTTACGTTTTTCACAAATTAAGCCACACAGAAAATCGTCAGGCCCTCGTTAACACCTACGAAGACATCCAGAAGGTTTCGGTCTTTATCCGTTCAGACGAAGGCGTTATGCGTAGAAATCTGTCTTTCTAACAAAGATGAGTTTTTGCATATTTTCCATTTCCATATCGTTAAACAGCTTTCTAAAGAAAGAATAATAATAATAAAAAAAAACAAGGTTGCAGTATCTTTAGAAGTGCCTGAAAGGCATTTAGTGCATTGAAATGTAAAGACTTCCATCTCCGCCTGTGTTTACTGCTGCCGTGGAGACGCACAGCGTCTCATCTGATGAGAGCTGGCAGCCTGATTACTCCTGTCGCAGCGATTATGATCGACTGCTCGCTGGCCGCGCTCCGCTTCTGCTCTGACATTCAGACTTGCTGTGAAGGCCCTTCCCTCTTGTGCGGAGAGCTAATCGGTTAAACCGATGATGACCCATGAAAGATTTGAGCTCAGTGATCTGGTGTTAAAAAGGTCAAGTGTCGCCCTGAGGGAGAAGTTGTTGGTGAAAAATATTAAGAAGGACTTTGTTATTGAAGTCGGGGTCACCCAAAGTTTGCAAGGAGATAAAATAAAGAGAGAGAAAGAAAGTTTAGTTTTTAGTTCAGGAAACTCTGAGATGTTTTGTGATTGATTGTTGGAGAGCAGTAAACAGCTAAGCTGAAGCGAAAAACTGGCGCCGCTTCTGATGAAGCCGTGCTCTAAGTGTCTGCACTCGGTGAGAGTTGCTGTCCAATCAGGACATGAGGGAGAAAGTGACTTGTCACGGCGTTGATCCGCGCCTCGTCCCCAGACGTAGAAAGCTTCAATTTGTTCTGCGCGACATTTTCTGTCGAGTGGACGATGCAATTTTCAGCTTTCATGTTTGGCGCAGGACCCAAACGCAGACGACCAGGCGAGATCTGATGATGGTGAGTTTTACGGGGCGAGAGAACAGGTTACAAAAGACACGACACAGGAGAAGACAAAGTATACAGCAGTCTGGAGAATAGATAGAAGAAGAAGAAGAAAAGGATGAAGAAGACGATGTACAATCTAAATTGTACATCTAAAAGAAGACTGAACAGAACAAGGCTGAGCAAACCACAAACAGGAATAAAGTAGATCGGGAAGACATGCTAAGTGCAAAACAAATCAATCCTCTAACAACTTTAGTTAATTAAATCCAATCATGAATATTGTTACAGAGAAAAACACTGAATAATTTGTGT